GGTTGAAGAAAGACGCGAGCAAGCATTCATCCGAGCGGAGAACTACCGGCGTCAAGTAAAATCATACTATGACGCCAAGGTACGTTCCCGAGAATTCCAAGTGGGGGACTACGTCCTCCGCCGAAGGGAAGCGAGCCAGCCGACGGAAGGAGGCAAGCTAGCCTTAAAGTATGAAGGTCCCTACATCGTCAGTGCCGTGGTGAAACCTGGCACCTACAAGCTTAAACGCCCAAACGGGACCAATGTACCACGAACGTGGAATGTACACCATTTGGTGAAGTTTTATCAATAATCCGAAGAAGGTGCAGCCGGCGAAGCCCTCACCCTTTGACGGGTTATTGATTGAACGCCACCCTCGGCCTTGAGCCACTTTTGAATAAAAATCATGTTTCCTTTGATTTCTTGGAATTCAAGTACCACATGGATAGGCGCCCTCATCGGCCACCTTAGAGCGAAAGGCTCATGCATGGCCGATGTGGCGTTTCGCATATGCATCTCTTGAGCGAAAAGCCCAAGCATGCCCATTGTATTTTGTATCAGCAAAAGGTTTAGGCCAGCTGAGAGAGCACGTCGTATCGGCCCCTTAGAGCGAAAATGCTCATGCAGGACCGACGACGTCCCCAGGACGATGGGCCCGCAAACGGCCCGCGTCTTGAAACAAAAAGTTCACCGCGTCGTCCACGCGCCTGATCACAGGACGACAGGCCTGAAATCATGGCCGAGGTGACAAAATCCCAAAACTCAGGGATGGGCAACGACAGCCGTTGGAAACCAACCAAAAGTCTAGCCCGCGTCATAAATAGGCGACGGACCCCCCCTGAGATCACGGACGTTATAAACGAAGTCCGAACCGGCCGAAGGGCCATCGACCCCTTTGGCCGAAGCCTGAAAGAAGGACACTCCCTGAAACGGGGAACAAACAAAAAAAAGAGAGAAGCCGACGGCCGTGCGCACTTGCCGGCCTCGAGCAGTAAAAATAAATCCCCACACTACAGCCACATTTGGCTAAGTACATATCAGTTGAACACAAAGGCAAACACTACCAACAGGTGACGTGGACGAAGCGGCCACACACTATAAGGAAATTGCCAAGGACGAAGCATACGCTTATAAAACCCTAACCAAAGTGGTTGGGTGAAACGAGAATGGTTACCTTCATCGGCCATAGCCCCTTGAAGCACCAACACGTAGCAAAAAAAAAGAATTACAACTCCACTCAAAACACAATCCTGAAGTTGACCACCGGAAAGGAAGCCCAGGACGAAGCGGGCAGTATTACACCCGCGGGAGAGTTAAGCATTCAAGTAACAACCCCTACCGGCCACAACATTTCGGATGGCCGTTACAGACACTAAAACCCATGCGGTTGGCCAAGCGGAAAATCCTTGGGAATATTTGTCCAAGTGTTCACCAAACACTTGGAGAAAATTCCTGGGAAAAAGGGTTCCTAAGTGATTCCAACACTTAGAGAATTTCTTGAGGAAAGCAAAAGAGACACCATGGCACCCTCATCGGCCACAAAGCCGTCTCTTGGCCGACGACAGTACCACACAGAAGCTACCTATGCCTTGCATTTATACTTAGAAAAATCTCTAAGTAATTAAAGGGACAGCCTCTATGTAACACCGTCCCCAAGCATAATTACTTTTAGTAAATTATGTAATAAACCTTGAAGGATGATTTATGAAATTGCGTAATTGTAAATTTTTATTATTTCTTTTACGTGAATAGTAAATTGCATGTGGGACCCACGCCCGGACCGGGGGCCGCCCGATAATTTCCGAACCACATATTATATTCATCTTGGTCTAGATGACATCTATATGGTGATGGATATCCTATTTGGGCCATAAGAAAGGCATGGAGTTGACCGGTCGGTCAAACGGGGCCCAATTACCGGTATTGGCAATTTAACGGATAACAGCCCGAAATGAGTTTCGGAGGCTCCTAAATTAATGTTGGGGAATGTACATCTATTCTAAAGGCCCATAATTATTGGGAACGCGTGATATATTTTATTTGGTCCAATAAAATAAAATATGATTAAAACGGGTCGAGAAATACAACTTTCGGGGCCGATTGTACACACCGGGACTTAATGGGATGACCTCCCACGTAAGTGGGGGCCACCCCACGTTTTTATGGGTGCTGATTGACCCAAATTAATGGGAAGGGGACATCCAAAGGTGGCATATCCGGACTTGTGATTGAGGGAGTGGTTGGAGGTACATGCACATCTATTTAGGGCCCTATCAACACCTCAACTTGGTGTTTGATTGAGGATAGGTGCCTCCCCCCTCATTTGAGCCATACGAATAACCCAAAGGAAGAGAGAAGCTCTATGCATCACCTCTCAAAAAGATCAAGCTTGAAGGAAGCAAGAGAAGAGGAAATCCAAGGAGAAAAGTATAATGTTTGAGGTAAGAACTCATTGAGTATTCTTGTAACTAGTTTACTCTTGTATGATTTTTTGGAAATCATACTGTGGATTAAACCATGAGTTCTACACGTTTAAAAGTGTAGAATATTGTTATAAAGTGGTGATATTTAACTTAGAAGAGTTGGCGAATCGATAGGAGTCGAAATCGCCGGAAACCACCACTTTAATGGAGCTGCTCATTTCTGCAGAACACGAAAGCCGCCCGGCTTTCGTGAAAGCCGCCCGGATTTTGCCCAGGCAGTCCAGTTTTGCCTTTCAATCGGCCTAGAACGGGGATTGATCGAGGGGCGTAACAAAGGCAACCATTGTAGCACATCACGAGGTGAGGATGGCTGACTATATTGCTTATAATTAGTGAGTTAATTTCATAATATTGCCTAACGTAATTAGATGGAATTTTCATGGATTATTAATGATTCATAATGCCTAAATGAAAATGATATTGATATGAGTAAGTGAAGCATGATATACAAATTTAGAATAATTGTGTATGATTATGTGAAATAAATAGAACGACATATTAATGGAATTACTATGATGACATTGTGATAAAATATGCTTTACCCCATGTATGAAATTCATGAACGGAGTAAAGTGATATTTTTGATATTGAGATCAAACTATACTTGTGTTGGGAAATCAATTTAAATGAAAAGTCAATTGGAAAATAGGAACTTGGCATGTTCTAAGATTATCCAATTAGTATCAAAATACTAGTCGGGGAATTAATATAAATAAATGATGAAACAAATCCTAAGAGGTAGGATTGTGAATAGATATGCCTTAAGTAGTCTCAAGAGATACTTTAAGGTTGAATTGTGTGAACGCTAAGGTGATAGGGGTAGGCCTAAATGCTACCTACGGAAATTGATTCTAGGCATAGGAATTGCTTGAGAATGTGATTATGAAAATAATTAGAGTTGGACTCTAGGATGACATGGAAATGTAGTTGGGTCGAGCCCATGCCATGTAATATGATTAGCATGGAAACGTAGTTGGGCCGAGCCCTTGCCATGTATATGTGACCTCCGTGGAAACGTAGTTGGGCCGAGCCCTTGCCACGAAGTTATGGTTGGTATGGAAACGTAGTTGGGCCGAGCCCTTGCCATACAAATTTTGATATTATATATTGAGTTAGAGGATTGTATAGAAATGTAGTTGGGCCGAGCCCATGCTATACAATTGGGGCTCGATGGGACCCCACGGGGTTATCGTGACTTGCGGTCACGGGGGAATGGAAACAATGAATTCTAAATGAATATGGGCCTACGGGCCGACTACTTGACTTTATATAAAGTAAGAACAGATAAAACAAAAAGGGGGGGTAACCGAGGGTTATGGCCTATAATATAATAGTACCCTAAGTTGAGGGTCTTGGGAATTAAAACGTTGATTATACTTAGTATAGTTGATATTGTACTTGTCAAATATTTCCAAGTACTGACCTCCCCTTCACGGGGGAGGCCACCTCACAGTTTCAGGTAGGACTTGAAGGTTGCTACCATCGCCCGTGGTTTCGGGAGGATCAAGGGGAGAAGACGTGGTTCGTGCTTCTTCCGTTCTGTTTTAAAAACAATTACGTTAATGCTCATGGAAATTATTTTTGAATAATTACTTTGGGGGCTTGTATGCCGAGTTAAGCCAAGTGTGGCTTGAACAATTGTATTTATGCTTCCGCTGTTTTAAATGAATGATTTACATTATGTTTGTTTATGGATGTACTATGTGTGAATGGTATTCAAGACGCCTTGTATAGTATGGACGAGTTGGACTGCGGTTGACTATTCGTACTGTACGGCGGGTTGTTGACGTGTCCGGGTAGGTCCGGGGTGTGACACTCTAGACGAAGCGGGCACCTGAATACTTGCAGGCCATTAGCTACCTATGTCTTACATTTGTACTTAGAAAACTTTCTATGTTCAAAGAACTAAGTTCAAAGGACCCAAGGCAAGAACAAAGACATGCAAGGCCGAAGGGGACAACAAACCCGTGTACCCCCATCGGCCACAACACAAGCACCCATGCCGACCTCCCGACCAGATAAGGGACAGTGGAACACCGGGCCGACAAGAACACCACGCGTGGCGTATTGGTTCAACACTTAGGAATTTCCCGAAGCATCTGTCAACAGTGAAAAGGGCCCAACACCAAGACGATGAGAACACCCACCCACTTGAAGTTCGGATACTTAGAAGAATTTCATAAAGTCCCAATTCCAAAAGTACTTATACAAATTTTTGGGAAGGAAAAAAGAACAGACGAATAAGACGACAAAGACAGTATGAAACGTAAAGATGCTTTCATTTAATACAAGTCAGTACATGGGGGGCACTTCGGCCGTTACAATCAAGATTAGAAAACAAAAGGCCAATCACAATTAAAAAAGAGGTTATGGCCGATCATGGCTCTGCAGCGGCCTCATCGGCAACAGGGCCCGCAACGTCCTCCTCGGCGACATGCTCAACCCCAACTTCGATCTCAGGATCCAGGCCGGCCTCGATAGCAGAAGTGGCGGTGTCGTCCAAGTAGTCGGCCTCCTCGTACTCTGGCTCGCCCAGGCCGGAACTCTCTATCGGAGCCTGCCTATCACACAAAGGAAGGTTGGCCTGCTCCTCCGGGTCTCTCATCAGCCGAGGAAGCCGTAGATTCCGCCTGACCCAACCCCGGGTATAGTTCAGGGTCCTGAGGGCGCGACTCAACCGGCGGTAGATGAGCCTCTGCATCCGATGCTGGCCCATATTATAGTATACGGACATCTCCCATTCAAAGTACTCTTGGCCGGCAGGGGAGTTCTGCCCCCAATCCTCTAGCTTGGCCGCCACGACCTCATAGCACCAAGGGAGGCGCTCATCGGCCTTCCAGCCCTCATCCAGGAACCTTGCGACTGCATCATCGGCAGCCTTCACCGCCGCAGCCTCATCTTCGGCCTTGGCCCTCTCGGCCTCCTCCGCCCGAAGACGATCAGCCTCACGGGCACTCTTCTCAGCGGCTAGGTTGGCCAGTGCCTCTTCCTTGGCCGCATCGGCCTCATCAGCTTTCCTTTGCAAAGCCGCAAAGTCCGCCCGCAGCCTCCCCAGACAGCTCATGGCCTCATCGACCGAGGCTGCCTTCTCTTCAAATTCTTGCAAACGGGCTATCTCCCGTTGCTACCTCTTATGGCTCTCCATAAGCATAAAGGCACCCTGCAATGGAAAGATTATCAATAAAGGATGCAACAAAAATATCAAAGGGAAAAAACGAAAAGCAAAAGCCGAGGAAGAAGGGAATTACCTGGACGACGAGGTCCATACCACCATCGTATATCTTGACATCTCCCAGCTTGTCAAGATATACCCGGTCCTTGGCCGGGATGGCCTGGGAGAGGACAGTATGACCGTCAACGCCATCGTTGAAAACCCCCCCATCCTTGGGGTATTCAACCTCTTTGCCGGCCCGCTTCGGCCGGGAGTCCTCAGCGAGGGGAAGGGTTTGAGATTCCCCTCTGGTGAGACCAGAGCCAAGGTCTACAAGGGCAGCAGCAGCGCTTGACCCTCCTTCGTCCACGATTGGGACGGTTAGCACGCCGGCCTCATCGGCGGTGGCAAAGGACGAAGCCTTCTTCGACCTCTTGGCAGACTGCATGCCGGCCTCCGTCAGCTTCCTCTGCGTCTCCTTCGCCGACCGTTTCTTCTTCGGCTGAGGAGGGGGCCTCTTCGTAGCATCACTACTGGCAGCGGCCTTCGCTGCGGCTTCCTTGGCGGCCAGCTCCTCCTTGGCCTTCGCAGCGGCCCTGTTCATCACAGACCGGCGATCCATCACGAAATCTGCACAACAAGCAAAACAGGTCAGCAAAATTAAAAACAAACAAAGTACCTGAAGAAGCCGAGGGGGGTATTACCATCAGCTTCGGTGGGAATGCCCATATCGGGCCCGTCGGCCTCCTCGAAGGTCGTGGTCATCTTCGGCCATATTTCGATGTCGTCCTCCTTGTCACCATACACGGAGTACCTGAAGAAGCCGATAGCGGTCATCTTGTACTCCGTAATATAGTGCTACACACTCCTCGGCCCCCCCTCCAAGAAGGTCGCCACCTGAGCATCGAGAATAGAACTCTTCGGAGGATCATGAAGGGTAAACCTTCCATCATGGCCGACGGAGGGGAACTCTATGCCATCTTCGCCCAGTGACACGAAGACAAATTTGCTCTTCCAGCCATGTATGGACGAAGGCAAATCCGTGAACGTCCTCTTATTTGGTAGCTGCTGCAAAGTGGCGTAGCAGGCACAATTCTTGTGGCTTCCTCGGCCGATCTGGTAGAGGTTCATGAAAAGGGCCGTTGTCGGCCTGTAGCCCAACTCCACACAACGAAGGATGAAGCCCACCATCAACGAGTAACTGTTCGGGGTCAGCAAGGCCGGTGGAAGCCCCACCATGTCCAGGTACTCTTGAATGAAGGGATGGAGGGGAAATCTCAGCCCCTTAGCAAAACTCATCGGGTAGACCCCGAAGTACCCCGGCGGCGGGTTGAGAACGTGGTCTATCGGCCTCGGCGCCCTGACCCTCCCGAATGGCCCCACGTACATCTGTGCGACCAGGTAATCGGCAGCACTGCTCTCCGGCTTGATCAGAAAAATGTTGGTAAGGTCCAGGTGAGAAAAGCCTGGCCCATTGTTCGGCCTCCTGTTCCTCTTCGGCCGTGGCAAACCCTTGACGGAAGATACCGGCTTCGGGCACGGGATAGTAGAGGCGGACGCCCCGTCCACCACACGGGGGGCCCTTACGTCCTCACCCTCAGATGACGAAGCGGACCTTTCGTCCTCGTCCTCCTCGTCCGCAGGTCCCCCGTATTTGTACGGGCTAAGGCACTCGATCTCTTCGGCGCACTCTTCAATCACGGCATAGTCAAGAGACTTGACGGAGGGCTCGTCGTCGTACGGGTAATACTCATCGTTTAAAGACTTCATCCTAAACAACTCCTAAGGCACTAAGGCAAGCTATTTCAGATCTAAGGCGTTTTTGTGACTAACACTGGATCGAGGCCTAGGAGAGCAAAATATGTTACAAATCGAAGAACGGGTTGAAGAACTAACCTTGAAGATTTGAAGGGGGTGAAGAACACTCAGCAAAGCTCTCTCTCTCAAAGAATTTGGGCAGCACTTCGTTACTCAGAATGCAAATGAGCTCCCCTCCTCGGAAGGAGGAGGGTATTTATAGGCACAATCCCAACGGTCACTACACGTGGCATCACCTCAGTGGCCACACCAACGGCCACCAATGGGGTGCCACCACTCTGTCCACAGATCAGCAGCCCACCACCGAAGCAGGCCCTACGGATCAAGAAGGGAAAAGACAAACACCCACAACGGCCAACACAGCCTACGGCTACCCGGGTAGCACCCGTATCGGCCTCTCAAAGGGCCACGCATTATGCAAAGGAAGGTTTCACAACGGCCACAATACCCCAAAGGAAATGAACATTACGGCCATGAGGCCCTTGCACTAGACCCTTGATGATAACCCTTTGAAAGCGACCTGCGTCCAAAGGTTCTCCCACAGGGTTACCTTGGTCAGGAAATCGCCAAAGGGTTGGATTCAAGGGCAGTATGAGGATCACACTTCGGCCTAGGTCTTAATCTACTCCTTCACCCCTCACCCTCTTCGGCCTGAAGCAGTGGGGGACTGGGGGACTACACCGACCTCAAGAATAACAGGCAAAATCAAAAGAAATCCAAAAATACACCAAGTCCACAACTACAACATCATACATGCACCACAACGTCCATAACATCATGGTACACCTTCGGCCACAGCAAAGCTTGAGATCACAGGACACCTATCGGCTTTGAAACCACATCACTCAAGCCAGGAACCAAGAGAAAGGTCAACATACCTAAATCACTGCCGTCCACGTACCACAACGGCCCCGAGATCCTCACAACTTCCTCTTCGGCCAGACAGTGTTATCAACCCCAAAACCTTGGGCAATATGACGCCTGGTCGTCCAATAACACAAGGCATCATCAACAATGGCCAAAAGGAATGCAGAGTGCCCTCATCGGCCTCACCAGCCCAAGAGGGAAACTTTACCTAGTCAACAACCAAGGACAGATACTACCTTCATCGGCCACCCGTGCCAGAACGCGCATCATCCAACAAAGCGCACCAAAGGAACAAGGGCCTTCCCCGGCCGCACCAGGGGACAGGCAACGGCCAAACTCAAAACACGGGGCTACCAATTCCCGCATCGGCCAAGAAGCATCAAGCATAGGAAATCTACTCTCCTGCACTTCGTCTACATCTCATCTGAGAGAGTGGGGGACTCCTGATGGAGTATATGGGTCTAGGCCTTAGGACCCACATACTCAGAACAGAAAACACAGCCACTACGCGATGCCCTCGTCGGCCAGAAGACCCTCGTCGGCCGAAGAGGGGCCAACCCAGAATATGATCTTGAAGCCAAGGAACCAGGGTGTCCTCGTCGGCCGTGCCCTCGTCGGCCAAGACCCTCGTCGGCCACGGGAGACCCACAGAACTGGATTTTACACTTACTCATTTGTATGGCCCACCAGTGGCTCTGTATTCGGCCCAGTAGCGGTCCAGTTGTAAATGGGCCTCCCAAGCCCAAGGTTTGGGAGCCCAGCCCGTATTTTTCCTATAAATACTTCCTCTGGAGGTAGTTATAGGGGTTACAAAATCATTCTATAGACACATATATTTCACTTCTCTCTCTATCTCTCACTTCTCTCTAGATATAAACTCTATCACATTCATATACGAGGATGTATATATAGGATGGGAGCAAGGATTACAATCATCATATGTGCCAGTACATATGGGCTCAGGCTATGAACTAATGGACATCCATAATTACGTAACACTCCCCCTTGGATGTACATTGCTAAATAAAATACATTACACGATAAAAAATACATTATTCTCTTTGTATGTGTTGGTGATGCTGCCTTGTTAAAAACCTTGCCGAGGAAAACCCAATGAGACAAAACCTTGGTCAAGGGAAAAAGAGTGCAACGCATATTGATAAGTCTGGTTTGTTCATATATTTTCACTCACTTTTTATAGCGTTTCTTGTCAAACTCGGGGCAAATTGACACATTTTCCTGTAGTTTTGTTGCATTTTTGTTAATGTTTGAAATTAGTGTTGAAATTTCCATTTTTGAGTGATTTGTGTTTATTTTAAGTGTTTGAATTGATTTTATGTTTTTTTTTTCGATATGAGTTATTTATATTTTGTAATTGGTCAAATTTCAATATCATATTATATTTCAATGTTTGATTTTTACAATAAACATATGAAGTTAAGAAAACAAAAACAAAAAAAAAGAATGAGAAAACAAAAAAAAAATGCAGCAAGGCTGCGTGATAAAAAAAAGAGCAAACAAAAGAAGAATAAGTGGAGTGCAAGGAGCCAACAAATCAAATGAGATGGGATCTCCTAACTTGTGATCAGCCGCAAGAAAAGAAGGCAAGTCGGCAGCCAAAAAAAAAAGCAGCACATGACTACGGCCAATTCAAAACAAAACAACAAAAATAGGAAGCTACAATCAACCAGTTGCAAGGAGATGGGATGGGGAGCAAAATCATTTGCTGGGAAGAGCAATAAAAGGTCGGCAGTAGGAGAGAAAAAAATTGACACCCGCAGCTCTTGGCAACAGGGTAAGGGCAGTTCTTTGCAGAGAGAAGATATAGCAGCTGGCCGGAAGGGAAGAAACGCAGGACGAAAACCGCAGCCAGCTACTCCATGTTCATTCATCTTTCAATCTTAGTTGTTAAGGTTTTGTGTTAAATTTCTTCTTTAATTTCATGTTTGAGTAAGCTTTAAATTTCACTCTTGGATTATTTATCAATTGGAACTACTCTTAAGTTTGATTTTGAACTATTATTATGTTGAATGAATTTGTATTTGAATTATATGTTTCCTTGTATTACTTTAGCTCCTCCATTAATTGTATTAGTTTCTTGATAATTATGTTAGGCTAAATTTTCATGGGGTTTGGATTTGGATAAAGTTAAGGTTAATGGGTGTTCTTGAATATTGAATTACATTTAGGATGTTTCTCCAATTTTTAGGACTAGTTGTTTGAGATGAAATGAAAGAGTAATTTGTGAAACTGATCACTTCACTTTTGAATGTTTGGAAATTTAATTTTTGCTTGTCTATGAGTGTAGAATTAATTTAGCTCACATCTCACACACCCTAAACTAAGCCTAGAAATAGGACATGTTAGGGGAATTAAAATCAAGTTCTTGTCTATGAGAATTAATATGTCACTATTCTTAGATTGGAGAAATTATTCCATTTTTGTTCATAATCCAAAGACACCCAAGATCCTTAATTCCAAATCTAGACCCCCATTTTAATTAGTTAATTTATTGTCACTAGTCACATTAAATTTACCTTTTATTAATTATTTTTGAAACTTTAGTCATCCACAAGTTTGCTAGTTTAATATTTTAATTAGTTAATATTATCTCTCAAGCTATTTTGCATGTTCACTAGTTTTAGTTTACTCATTAATGTCATTTGATTAAATTCTCCACTACTACTTTTGTTGTTTAATTTTATTTACTTAATCATTATCACAATTAATCGTTTGAGAAAGCTTGCAACGACTCGTACTAACCGGTGACCGATATTGAAACCAACACTTCCCTCCGCCACTCCTCAGAGACACGATACTCGGGGAAAAACCGAAAGGTTAGACTCCGTTTTACTACAACGCCGCGAAAGCGGGTTATCACATATATACTCCCCGTGTTGACTACATCACTTCAAGATTTCTCTCCAAGTCTTCTTGTAGAATTCAATCCATCTTGGTTATAATCTTCTTGTAGCAATATTTGTGCTATGTGTATGCCTCATTAAAAACCTTGTTGGAAAAACCATTTGAGAAAAAATCAATCAAGGAAAAGAGTACATAATATATGTAAAACGATGTGTTGGATTGACTGCCTCATTAAAAACCTTTAACTAAGAAAACCATGTAGGAAAAACTTAGTAAAGGAAAAGAGTACAGTCGCTGGCCTTCGGGACCTAATCTTCCGGATTGCCTTTGAATTTACTCAGAGAAAAATAATACACCGATTTTTATGTATCATAATATGTTATTTCAAAGTCACAATCTGCCTCATTACAACCTTTGACCAAGAAAACCCTATGGGACAAAACTTGGTTAAGGAAAAAGAGTACAATTGTGTATGGTCTTACTGACCAATAAATTGTTCGATCGCACAATGACCAGTTAAGACCTTCAGGGTACTATCTCCCGAACTAATAATAGAATCACTCTTCTAGAGGATAATAATCTTCCGGATGTTATGAATCTTTCTCATTCTTTAAAAACCACAAAATACCTTAAAACCTTTGGTCAAGAAAACCCTTTCGTGCTAGAGGCTGACTCTAGTCACTCCATTTCATGCTAGAGGCTTCCTCTAGTCACTCTACATTATGCTAGAGGCTTCCTCTTGTCATTTTCTGTCATGCTAGAGGCTCCCTCTAGTCACTCTCCGTTATGCTAGAGGCTTCCTCTAGTCATCTTACGTTATGCTAGAGGCTTCCTCTAGTTACCATTCAATATACTAGAGGCTCCCTCTAGTCATATTATCAAATTCCTAAGCAACTTCTATGCCTAGGATCACTTCATATTGAGTAGCCTTTAAGGCCCGCCCCTAGCTTGACTTGGCATTTACACATTCCTACCTTAAAGCATCTAATAAGACTACTTAAGGTATATCTTTCACAATCCAAACCCTTAGGATTTATTCTATCATTTTTCATGTTAACATTCCAACTAGTATCTCAATACTAGTCAAGAAAACTTAGAACAACCAAGTTCTTAATTCATAGCCATATTGCTCATCTCAATTGATTTTCCAATCCAAATATGATTTAACCCCAATATCAAAAATATCACTTTTATCCATTCATGATTTCTTTACATGAAGTAAAAGTATATTTTATCACAATACTTCACAATTAATCTCAATATCATGCTATCATATTCATAATGCACAATCATACACAATTACTTCTATATTTGTATATCATGCTTCATTTACTCAATGCAATAGTATTTTCATTTAGGCATTATTAATCATTAATAATCCATGAAAATCACATTTTATACTTTCGGTAATCTTATGAATTAACCCACTAATTATAAGCAATATAGTCGGTCATCCTCACCTCGAATGAGCTTTAAGAAGTTCTACCCTTATCGGTTGAACTCCGGCGATGCTCCGACGAAACTCCGGCGACGGTTAGGAACACCTTAGTCAAGATCCTAACAAGGTTTTATCATCACAAAACCCATATCAAGACAAATAACCTCTAAAAGGTTATTTTCCGGTGAACCGGTCGTTTTGGCTTCTAAGTCCGTTCTTGGACTTAGAACTACCTTCCAACCCCTTATACTACACTTATCAACATGTAGAATAATACTAGGGTTCTCCATAACATTCTCAAATAATAATATATTCAAGAAAAAGAGAAGAAAAAGTAAATGAAGCAATTACCTAGTTTTCCCCAAGTTTTGTACACTTTTTGGAACTTAGACTTTTTCCTTGAGCTTCCTTCTTGTAGGAGCCTCCTTCAACAATGGTGAGAGATGGCTAGAGGGTTTCTTGAACTTGATTGGGGTGTGTTGATCGAAAATGATGAGGTGAGGGGGTGGAGTTGGCTCTTTTGTCTCAATAGGCAATAAGTGTGGGTTGAGAGACCCACTTTTGTCCTTTTAGATGCCTCTCAAGTCAACCCAACCTCTACTCACCTTCCTCCTCAAATTGGCTGCCCATATCTCATTTTGTGTGCCCAAATTCATGGGTTGGCCCCCATCCATGTGGGGGGTCACCCCTTTTGTCCAGAAGTATACAATCCGCCTCGAAAGTTGTATTTCTCGGACTTTTTAAATTATATTATATTTTATCGGGCCAAATAAAATATATCACACATTCCTAATCATTATAGGACTTTAGAATATATATACATTCCCCAACTTTAATTTAAAAGTCTCCGAAATTCATTTCGGGCTGTTATATGATAAATTACCAATACCGGTAATTGGGCCTCGTTTGACCAACGGGTCAACTCTATGCCTTTTTTATGGACCAACTAAAATATCCACCACCATATACATCATATCTATATCAAGATGAATATAATATGGGGTTCTGGAATTATCGGGTGGTCTCCGTTCCCGATGCGGGCCCCGTGTGGGATTCATTATTGACGCAAAAGAAATTAAAAAAAATTACAACTTCGCAGATTCATAATTCATTGTTCAAGGTTTATTACATGATTTACTGAAAAGTAAAATATATTTGGGGACGGTGTTACAGTCTTAATGAGTCCACTAAAAATAACGGCCACAAGGAGCTACTAAGAGAAACTCGTGAACGTACAGTGAATTCAAGTTTCGCAAGATTTGACATATAGATAACAATGTGAGATAATGGGAAAAGGTACTCCAATAGGAGTCCTGGCCTGTATATTTATAATAGAAGAGTTTAAAACAAACTAGGAAACAAATCTTCCTAATAATATTCTATTACACCCCCTCAAACTGTGTGGGAGATACAACGCGCGGGTTGTCTTTTAAAAAATGAAACTGCTGACTAGAAAGACTTTTAGTAAAAATGTCAGCTAACTGCAGTTGTGTAGGGATGTACTTCAAGACTAAGTCTCCATGCGCCACACGTTCTCTGACAAAATGATAATCAATCTGGATATGCTTGCTACGTGCATGCTGAACTGGATTTGCAGTCAAATATGAAGCAGAGATGTTATCACAAAAGAGCTTTACTGGAATGGTAACTGGAAAGCCGAGCTCATAAAGAACTGAACGAATATGCAATGTATCCTGAACCGTATATGCAACGGCACGATACTCGGCTTCTGTAGAGGACTTAGAAACAATGGGCTGCTTTTTGGACTTCCAAGAGACCAGGTTGGGACCCAAAAATACACCAAAGCCCATCGTGGAACGTGATGTATCTGGACAGTCTGCCCAATCTGCATCTGAATAGGCTATAACACAGGTGGCTTTAGTAGTCGGTTGAAGCCATAAGCCGTGGTCAATAGCCCCCTGCAAGTATCTAAAAATACGCTTGATTGCAAAAAGATGAGTAGTACGAGGGGCATGCATAAACTGAGACACTAAATGCACAACATAGGTAATATCAGGTCGTGTCAAAGTTAAATATTGTAATGCACCAACCATACTGCGATACTTAGTGGCATCTGCAAGAAGCTCCCCATCAGTGAGAGATAAGGAAGTGCAGGTAGCAAGAGGAGTACGAACAGATTTAATAGTATGGAGATGAAAACGAGAGAGAAGGTCAGACACATATTTATGTTGAGAAAGGAATAAACCTTTAGCGGAACGCACAACCTGGACTCCCAAAAAATAATGAAGATCTCCAAGATCTTTCATAGCAAAATGTTGAGCAACAGTCTGAATAAACGATGTAATAGCAGCGGAAGAATTCCCAGTAATAATTATGTCATTGACATATAATAATAAATAGATGACAGTACTATCCTTGTTGTAAATAAATAATGAATTATAGACTTGCTGCACGAAAAATAATGAGACAACAGAAAACTACTAAAACGATGAAACCATGCCCGCGGGGCTTGCTTAAGGCCATAAATGGCTGTTCGCAATCTACACAGGTGATTAGGAAACAAAGGATGAGTGAAACCCCGCGGCTGACGCATATAGACTTCCTCTGTGAGGTTACCATGCAAAAAGGCATTTTTGACATCTAATTGACGGATGACCCACCCAAAAGAAATAGCTAATGTAAGGACAATACGAACAGTGGTGGGTTTAATGACTGGGCTAAAAGTCTCAGAAAAATCTACACCTGCTTGTTGATTGAATCCTTGAGCCACCAACCGTGCTTTATGGCGCTCAATGGACCCATCTGAATTATATTTAGTCTTAAAAATCCACTTAGGGCCCACAACATTTTTAGAATTATCAAATGATACCAAGTCCCACGTATTATTAGAAATAAGTGCATTAAATTCCTCAGCCATTGTCGCACGCCATTTTAACTGTTTATTAGCCTCGGAAAAACATGTAGGATCAGCTAATAAAACAACAGTGTTTAAATTAAATATGGGTTTTGGTTGAAAAATCCTCGACTTCCCCCTCGTCTGCATGGGATGAGTATTAATGGTGTTGTCGAGACTAACTGTGGATGAAGGCACGGTTTCGGTGGTTATGGCAGACGACGAGTGGTCGGTGGGGGCTGAAATAGTGGCGTCGGTTATGGGAAGAGTAGGGTTTACGAATGGAGAATTGGGAGTTTTGTGACACCGCTCCCAATTTGAACTGGGATTAATTAATCCATTAATATTAACACTTAATAGAAGTTACAAATACCAATGTCGATGAGGATGACTAGTTGAGTTCGTGAATATTTATTCATTTTGAAAACTAGTTACAAAAATATTAATCATATGAGAAATGATTAATTGATCAAATTAATACCGATTAATTATATTGTGTGTCGGACCCTAAAGAAAATGGGGAGGGACTAACTAGTATATTCTTGGACCACGTTAAAATAATTAAAAGCCCAAGGATAAGGAAATAAGTTATATACGAATGTTTGGACCGGGTGAAAGATAAAGGAGTCATATAAGAGACTTTTTGAGCCACTTTCTAATAATAGAAAGGTAAAGGAGTTTAAGCCCGGAACATTGGAGAGGAATATCCGATACATTTTAGGATCGATCTATTGAGGTCTACTGGCCTAAAATAATATAAGTAAACGAGTAAAAGTCATTTGGGTCGGAGTAAATTAAAAGGAGCAGCCCACGAGCCGAACCCAACAAAACCGGCCCAAGTTTCTAAAAATAGATAGATAAGGGAGGGGGTCTCCTTATCCCCTCATTTTTGAGAGGTTGTGCGTAAGACACAAAGGGAGAGGAGGCTTGAGAGCTCCATACGCATACCCCAAGGAAATCAAGAAGAAAGGGAGTCAAGAAGAGAAGGAAATCCGATAGAAAGCGAAGTCTAACGGTAAGAACCTCGTAGCTCCGATTCTTGTTCCTTCTTTTTATAAAGTTTCATATATGATTTTACAAGAATCATATGATGGATTACAGGGGATGTTCTACACGTTTAAATGTGTAGAAAAATGATATAAAGTGTTGGTTTTTAACATAGAAGAGTTGTGGAATCGATAGGAATCGAAATCGCCGGAAACCGCCATTGCTAGGAGCTGTTTTCGTGTTGCAGGGCCCGAAAGCCGGGCAGCTTTTGCAAAAGCCGGGCGGCTTTTGCCCTCTGCCATTCAGGCCCATTTTGGATCATTCCCGATCGAAGGTTTAACGATGGGGCTTCAATAGGAAGGCTTCCTGGACATATTTAAGGTGAGGATGACTGACTATATTGTTTATAATTAGTGAGTTAATTTCAAAAGATTACCTAAAGTTGTTAAATGTGATTTTCATGGATTATTAATGATTAATAATGCCTAAATGAAAATACTATTGTTTATGAGTAAATGAAGCATGACATACAAATTTGGAAGAAATTGTGTATGATTATGTGATATGAAAGTGATAGCATGATAATGGAATTAACTATGAAAATATTGTGATAAAATATACTTTTACTTCATGTATAGAATTCATGAATGGATAAAAGTGATATTTTTGATATTGAGATTAATTTGTGTTTGGATTGGAAAAATCAATTGAAATGAAATGTTGATTATGAATTAAGAACTTAATTGTTCTAAGATTATCCGACTAGTATTGAAATACTAATCGGGAGATTGAGATAAATAAATGATGGAACTAATCCTAAGAGATAGTATTGTGAATAGGGATGCCTTAAGTAGTCCTAAGAGATACTTAAGGGTTGAAATGTATGAGCTCTAAGATATGTTAGGAGTAGGCCTTAAAGGCTACTCAAGGTGAATTGATTCTAGGCATAGAATTGGCTTAGGAATCGAATAACTTGACTAAGAGCGAGGTTCTAGCATAAGGATAGATTGACTAAGAGCGAGGCTCTAGCCAAATGTAGATGACTAAGAGCAAGGCTCTAGCATAAATGTAGATTGACTAAGAGCGAGGCTCTAGCCAAATGTAGATGACTATGAGCGAGGCTCTAGCACGAATGTGGATGACTAAGAGCGAGGCTCTAGCCAAATGTAGATGACTAAGAGCGAGGCTCTAGCACAATGTAGATTGACTAAGAGCGGGGCTCTAGCCTAATGTAGATGATTAAGAGCGAGGCTCTAGCATAAATGTAGATTGACTTAGAGCGAGACTCTAGCCTAACGTAGATGACTATGAGTAAGGCTCTAGCACGGTATAATAATGAGATTGCGTGAGGCCCCATGATGGCTAATTGATGTATATGAGAAATGACCCATGACGGTAAAGTAACTCACCGAAGGTTATAATGATCGTGACTAATAGTCACGGGGAAACAGGGGTGGGCACTTCAAAACAAATATGGGCCACGGGCCGACTACTTGACTTTATATATATATAAAGTAAGTATATTTTTGAGAGAGGGTAACCAGGTGTTATGGCCTATAAAAAAATGTATCATCTTATATTGAGGGTCTTAAGAAATTGAAACATTGATTATACTTAGTATAGTTGCCATTGTACTTGTCAAATGCTTCCAAGTACTGACCTCCCCTTCACGGGGGAAGCCACCTCATAGTTTCAGGTAGGAGTTGAGCTTGCTACCAGCGCCCGTTGCTTCGGGAAGATCTAGGAGAGAAGACGTGGTTCGTGCTTCCTCCGTTTCTGTTTCAAAAACATTTATAATAATGCTCATGGATATTATTTTCTGAATAATTATTTGGGGGCTTGTATGCCTAATGATGCCAAGTGTGGCTTGAACACTTGTAATATTGTTTCCGCTGCTTTAAATGAATATTTTACATTATGTT